TTTTCCATTATTATAAAGACCGATTTCTCCCAGAATTATTGTGTTTCGCTATTGGTTCCGGGACGTCGAGTGCCAACCTGCACCTATTGGAAACAAAGTGAACTGCTAGGGTAGAAAATCCATCTACAGTCCAACTATTGCGAAGAACAAGGAAACATTTGGAATTTTCATCGTTTACAACATCAAACTTCCTGGAAGAAGAACTTTGGATTACTTATCTTTAACCTTGATCAAACTGTATTTTGGAAAACGATCTTCTGATCGTTTCCGTTAAATTTCAATTAATTATGAGCTCTTGAAAGAAAACAAACACGAAGAGGGTAGAAGCCCATGAAGAATCCCGAAATGCAAGGCAAGTCGTTTATGATGCTTCATGGGTCCACCCTCCAATAAGCATGATGTTATGTATGATACTTATTATTGTAAGTCACCCATAGTAGGCACTCAGGAACAAAGTTTGAACGAGGACTTAGAGGTATCTGGGAAGGAATTGAGGCCCAGGACACCGGTAGTTGGATTAGAGTTGCCAAAGGTAGAACTTCCCTTCTTCGATGGAAGACACCGCAATTACTTTAGATTCGTAAGAGAGTTCGAAACGTTTATAGAACCTAGAGTAAAGGATGATAATTTGCGTTTATTATATTTAATTCATTACTGTAAAGGAAAAGCAAGAAATGCGATTGAAGGATGCCTTATAATGGAACACCAAGTGGGATATAAAAGAGCTAAGGCTATTTTAAAGCAGCTCTTCGGACAATCGCATGTAATAGCTCGTGAAACTCTGGATGACTTGTTTAGAACTGGGAATGCGGACTACAGTGATCCGGAACAATTGACGGATTTAGCAATTAAGATGCAGAAGGTTGCTCTGACCCTGGAACAATTGAACTGTCCAGCGGAACTAAACTCCCTACTAACTTCAGAGCGAATAGTTACGCTCTTACCTCATCGAATGCAAGTCCAGTGGGCAGAGCTGGGAATTAAGTGGGACAAAGAGGAGAGAGAGCCTACTTTCAATGAATTAACTCACTTTATTATGTCTTGTGCTAGGATAGCTAGTAGTAGATTCGAAAGATTAGCTAATCGC